CTAGCTGTCATTTTCTGCAATTTCTTCCTCCTCACATAAAGCAACTTGGATTGATGCCCTTCTATGGCCCCGTCTAGCTCTCCTGGTGAAAAACCACCCGTCTCCTGTGATCTCCTCCACACTGTTAAAAAACAGCAAACCTTCTTGTGACAGCACAGCCTGAATGAGCTGCAGGTCCATCGTGGGCTACCAGTAATGTCAAGGACACTAGCAGAGAGCTAAACTACAGGAAACTCAGTCAGGAGGGATAAACGCAGCGAGCAGTGGTCTACAGCCCCCACTTGTAACACCACTCCCGGTTAATTGGTTCTCTTGTTGTTGCCTGAACCTGTTTGATGACAGTTTATGCTTCCTAGCTGAAATTTAACTGACTTTGCTCAAAACTGTGATGATCGAATGTGCCTTTATTTCTTTAAAGCAGTGCAGTGAGAGGAAGAAAAAGATGATGATAATGAAGAGGAGGAAAATGAAGAATTGAAATATGCACCTCTGAACTGCATTCAGTTTTTTTGCCATGTGTAAGAATCAATTTTTCCTTTGAAGAAATCACTAGTTTCACTTCTGAATTTCAGCCATCAGTGTCAGCATCAAGGTGCACCAACCAAGCTACTTCGATTTTCCAAGTAAAGCGATGTTCCACGACTCACTATAATAATCCCTTTTTCAAAAGTAAGCATTTCTGTTTGTCATATTAGACTGTTGGCGCCATTATAGCTGCAATTAGTTTTATTTTCCCCTAATTTGTACAAGCAGAGCGTAAACAAGCATTCGGGGCTTATGTCAAACTTAATTAGGATAAAATGTGTTTCTTTCTCTCCAGTTCTCTCTCATGCCAAGGAAATTACTTCACTGCTTGCAACAGATCACAGGTTAATCCTATATTAGCCATGCATGATTCCATTTTATTTAATAAAGCAAGAAACCCATAATTACTCTTGGCTTTTCAAAAAGTCCTTATAAAAAGGGGAACAAAGATGAAAATTAACAGAAGGTTGGATTAATAAAAAAAATAAAAAAAACTACCCTAATGTACATAAACCCTGATGTTAACATTATTCTGCAAGAGAAATCCTTGAATCGGGCTAATTTATCACAAATCTGAATCTCATCTAAATAAATATTATTTAAATATTTTTCTTAAGTCATACAATTTTTTTGAATGTACTCACAAAAACAAAATGAGAACTTTAAAGAAAAGATCTGATGGATTATATAAAAGACCAAGTGTATTTTGTATTGTATTTTATTAACATTTTTATCTTAATAAATGGAGTGCAACAGTTCATGCTGGTGTGCTGCATTGTTTTGGTAAACCGTTCCAATTGGCCCAAATTCACCCCAAGTGGTTCATTTGAAAGAATAATTAACTAAAAACATAGAAATAAAAAGAAGGCTACATCAGTGACTGTAGTCTGGACGAAAAAACAAAACAAAACCCTCCGTCCGGGGTTAAAGTTCACAGCTACTGTGCGATTTAAATGAGGCTTCACACGTCCATGTGCATCACTCAGTTTCACACACAGACTTGAGGCAGTTAAGATGGGAGTTTCCAGACGGCCTCTGCCACTTATGTATTCTTATATTTCCATCACTCTAAACTCTATGAGGGCTTTAACACCAGGCTCCTGGGATTTGCCTCAACCTCAGCAAGCTCAGCAGCCCCTCCTCAAGGCCACCTTATTTGTCATACTTCTGGACAAGTCTTCAGCATCAGTAGTTCAAGCTAATATATTGATGGATACTGCTCCCTTTATGGCTTTATATCCAACTCATTTACCCAGAAAGGAAAAGACACCCCAACAAGAGAATAATGACTTACATTTTTGAGTCGTCTGTTGCCTTCGTCACGCCTAAAATAAAATTTCAAGACAGAAATAAGTACTTAAACAAAAGAGCCAAACATCTGCTGCTACAATTTACATTTTGATTGCGTCACTGAAAAGTCCCGGTGAATGAGATAACTGCGAAGGAAAAAAAGTTACAGTGACATCTTAAGCCTTCTCATTTGCAATCCTCACTAATCAGCAACTTATCAGGTTTTATGGAGAACAGGCCATCAGCTCATATAAAGGAGCAGCTTGTTAGTGAAAGTGCAGACATTTATTAATGCAAAGCAGCACGTTCACTTTTATCTTTTTAAATACACACACTGAAAACTCAGTCAGTGGTAACTATAACCTACGCAGAAAACATTAGGCCCTCATGTATTTTGCCAGTACACAGTGGTTCTGCTCATACTGTATTTTTTATTTTATTCTGTATATGCCATTTCTTTTGATTTTCTTGCTTTTATAGCACCGATGTGGGACCGTACAATTATTTCACTGTACTATTGTACAAAGTATCACTGTGAAATTGCAATAAAGTTAGAGTTAAAGGTCCAGTTGCAGCGGTATGTGTTCATGCAACTTCACCTGAGTGTCACACGAGTGGAGATGTCCTGCAGGTCACCTGGATGAAACAGCTGGGATTCATTTAGTCCCAGTTTCTCGCAGGCTTTCAGGAAAACATTCACATTATCCTGAAATATCAGAACAGATGAGAAAAAAAAAAAAAAGCATGAAAAACTAGAGAAACAGTTGATGTTTGTTCTGATAAACTAGTAATGACCAACTCCAGCCTCAAACAGTTAAAATCCACCTCATCCAAACAATTCTCCAAGTGAGAACAGCTTGGAGTACAACCTACAATCAATTCTGATTCATCATTAATCATCTATTCATCTGTCAAGAAACACTCAGTAGATATCTAATAAGTAACCAATTGTTTAGAAATCATACTTGCTCTGTTCAACCACCACAGCAGGTAGGATTACAGCCAAGCACAACTCTAGAGCTGCAAACAGATCTATTTAGATTATCTTAACATATCCTATCTAGTCGTCTGTCAGTGTTAGTACAGCTACTCCTAAAGGTCACCATTATCATTTTTGAATTAGTTCAGTATGGTTCAAAGTATTGAGAAACCACTCATTTCTTTACATTTTACTTCCAGGACTTTGTCACTTGTAAAGTTCTTGTTTTCCTGTCTTTCAAAGGTTTTCTTTTCACTCATTTTCAGTTGAGGTCTTGTACCTTTCTTGCACCACAAGGCAATTTGAAAATGTTTGTCTACAGCAGGGTCTGAGAAATGCACAGTCATTGGACTTTCATCAAATGAAGCTGGAATCTAATTTTACACCTGATTTTTAAATTCTAATCATTCAGTAATAATCTCACAGCGACAAAATGTAGGAGGCACAAAACTGCAGTTTTCCAAGTCTTAAATATAAAGGATCAGAAAAGGCAAACACATAAATATCTCAGTTCAGGCCTGGTCCAGTCTGAATCTGTGATCTTTATCATTTTTTTGGATCTGTCCTGGCAGGCAAGACCCTATAAACCCTTTGGTTCTGGGTTGACCCACCAACTGATTTAAAGATATTTCAGGGGAGAAACATACATCGAGACCAGTACTCCAAATTTGTTCCTTTTTCAAGTGTTTGACATGTTAAGATGAAATGTTCAGAACAAACCATCTACAAATACATTTAGAGCCGTTTTCAGATTTTAAAGTAATTTCAACCTGAATTTCATACTCGAATCATCTCCAAGATCCAAATGTGAGACATCTGACTGCTTGAGTGTGACCACTTAGAATACGAGAAATGATTTACCATTGATCAGTGTGTAACATATAGTAAGTGTTTGCATTGTGTTGTGACTGGCTGACAGCCTGATGGCACAGAGTTGGAGCTACAAAGGCGGATTATATAGATTTTATTCTGAGCTGATAAATATGCAAGGTAATCACATTCTCCATCCTTACACATTAACACATGAAAAGCGCTCATGTTAAACACAAAAATAGGACACTAACATCGAACTGGGCCTCAGTGTTTGTAAAAACGTAAACTTCAGCAGATTGGCTTACTGCACTTTGAGCTTTGTGACTTCATAAATGAGGAAATGAACTGGGGTGTCACACAGCAGGTTCATGTGCAGCAGGAGGTTAGGAGTCCGAGAGAAACTCAGTTTGTTGCAGAAAACCTGCTCGCTGCCAAGTTAAGTTCACAGACTTTATATACGGTAATCGACTCAGGTAAAGTTAGCTCTCTTTCTGGAAACAGAAAGCATTACTGAAGCAGTTTGAGAGCATCTTGACACAACAGAACAAAAAGGCAGCCAACATCCAAAGAATTTTGGTAGACTTCAAGAAGACTGGACAGCTAGTCCTGAAGACCAGTCAAATAAAAGTTTGCCTAAAAGCACTCAGGCTATGCTCAAGAATAAAGGTGCTCATACCAAATATTATCTTTCAAGCATGTTAGAATTGTGCAGACTCTGTTTTTGCCTAATATACACCGTGTTTCTGTGTATGATTACATGCGTTTCAACAGATCACTACAACCATTTCTCAAACTAAATATGAAAACATGATTATTATGTTGATGATATTAAAACAGTCAGAGGTGGATAATTTAGCAGCCTCTATTGGTAAATAAACAAACTGCATAATTTATTTAAAATAATGATCAATGTTTTTGTCCCCATTTGTGCATTTTAGCATGTAACAATTCCAACTCCCATGTAACAAAATATAATAAAGACTGAAACTTCATTATAAATAATGCCGAAGCTTCAAAGGCCGGACAGAGGATATTTATTGTGTTATTCAAAGAGTTTCTCGATAAGTGTCGATGTTGATTTTTAATTGTTTAATTTGAAGTTATCAGATTAAAAACAAACAAAAGCTCCAGTATTGCTCTTTAGGTTGTGAAAGTAAGAGCCGAACCTCTGCTGCATCTCCCTCTCCCACCCCGCCATCACCACCAGTGCATCCACCGCTGGGCTCCATCTATTGGGCCCTGTTGGGAGCTTGAAATCGATCTTTTCCTGGTCTTGCTTTGGGCTGTTTTGGCAATTATACTTGTATGAAGCTATTGAGAAACAGCCTGAAGCCAAAATAAAAATCTTCATTTGCATCAGTTCCCAATAAAAACAAGCTGAAACTTTGCAGTTGGTTGAAATGCACGTTCATGTTTAGTCAGACTACAACAACACTGTCTCCTTGTGCCTGCAACAGGAAACCACACAATGTTTCAACACTTCCTGGCTAACAGGTGTCTTTTTTGCTTTCTTGCATACTGTGATTATGCAGACGTCATACAGCTGAAGTGTAAACTCACCAGACCAGCGATTGGAGTAGACAGCCTGTTCACCCTCTTGATTATTCCGGGTTTCAACTGATTAATTAGGCTGCGAGTGAAGACAATTAGCAAACAGATTACAAAATATTCCAGCCACAAAAGATAAGAACTGGTAAACAGTCCTAATTTTGACTTCCATTGGCAGACGGCATTTTAGATAAAGAACCACAACTTTTTCTTTTTTAAGCCATCATCCTAAAATCAACTTCTGGGTTAACCAGCAAACATCAGAATTGTGCGTCTGCACTTGTTAATTTATGAGTGTTTATCTTTGCTTACTTTTAAAGATACTCAGCAACCTCCAGACTGCAGTTTTGGATGCTACTGTTTTTAAAAAATTGTTTCAAGGCTGCTGAAGGCAAGCTGGCAAATTAGCCTGCATACACTCACTAATGATAGGTCTGCATGATAATTATCTTTCAAATTAATTCTTACAGATAAAAGTTTGACCAAAGTAAACCTGCAAAACACTTAAAGTTTGAGCATCATTACTTACTCGCAAAGCAGGACTCCGTTCTCTAATGCGGCACGGAAGTCACTGCATCCAAACGACTTTCCAGTCACTTCCTAAAGAGGGGAGGAGAGAAAAAAAAAAAAGTCAATTATTTGCGTTTCTTTGCTTAATGACTTTTTTTTGGGAAAAGTTGAAGTTACCAAGAGTGCAATTAAAAACACAGCTGGAGGTCCAACAAAATGAAAAATATAGGCTGCAGTGTGGCATGTACAACTTCATTTTCAGACTCCTTTTGTTTGTTTCTTGTTGTTTTGGCAGTGCGCCTTTACTAGAAAGAATGAACAATAAAATGGACCGAAAACACTGGAAAAAAATAAATAAATAAAATTAAAAATTAAAAAAAAGGCACACAGGACCGACTGGTATGTCGTTTTGACCAGAACCGGCTATAGCACCACACCAGTCCAAATATACTGGAAAAAGCTTGATTCACGGCAGCTCAGCTTCACATGCGCTGCTAATGGATTACTGCTAGATGACACACTTTCAGAGGTCTTTTCCAGCTCACGTCAATCTCAATCAGAGCTTTTTTGGCACCCCACAATGGACCCACAGCCTATTAGGCAGTGACATTCAGGTTTGGAACAAGTGTTCAAATCCAGTAAGTAACAGAAATAAGCATGACTGTATGAATACGTATGACTGTATATAATTCATGCTACATTTTAAAAAGGTTCCAACATGCTTAAAATAGTACCACATACTTCTACAGTACTGACACCAACACCATATATCCACCACTGTCTGTATAAACTGGTGTAAACCAGCACATTAATGATTAAAGTATGTTAAAGTGCTTGCAGAGTTCAACTATTAAAGATGATATTTGCCCTTTATACAGTCACCCATTATTTTAGCTATCACAAATATTCTAATCACCCAATCACATGGCAGCAACTCTGTGCATTTAGGCATTCAGACAAGGTCAAGAAGACTTAAGTTCAAACCAATCATCAGAATGTGTAAGAAAGCTGACATGGTTGACGCAGCCAGACGGAGCTCTGAGTGTTTCAAGAACTGCGGAAAATCCCACCAGATCTTCTGGTGGACCTCAGGAAGAATTAGCAGTTGCTGTGGTAACGACTAATGGGTGCCTAAATAATGAATAATGAACAATGAACAAGCACCTCTATGCTTTACAGAGAATGGTCTGAAAAACAAAATCTCCATTGAGCAGCAGATCTCTGGGTAAAAACACCCTGTTGATATCACAGGTCAGCTGGAGATGGCCCGACTGCTTCAAGCCGATAGGATGGAAACAGTCTCTCAAATGACTGCTGGCTACCGCCATCAAGGTAAGCAGAAGGTATGCTTTGTATTAACAGTTTAGGCTGGTGGTAATGGTTTAAAGGTTTGGGGGATATTTTCTTGGCACACTTTGGGCTGCTTGATACCAGTTGACCATCATTCAAACACCACAGCCTACCTGAGTATTCTTGCTGACCATTGTCCATCCCTTTGTGTCCATCATGTGCCCATTATCTGATGGCTGCTTCCAGCAGGATAAAACACGATGTCAAAAACTCAAATCATCTCAAGCTGGTTTATTTAACATGATCATAAGCTCACTTTACTCAAATGACCTTGGCAGTTACCAGATCTCAGACCATTAGAGCACGTTTGGGATGTGCAGGAACAGCAGAGTCCAATCAAGAAACCGTGTGATCGGAGCAAAATCTCTGGGAGATGTTTCCAGCTCCTTATTTAATCCATGCCAGGAAGAATTAAGTATTTTGCAAGCAAGTTATACCAGTATAGCAAGTTGTAGTTAATAAAGTGGCCAGTGAGTGTATACACACCACTTGGTGTCAAAAACAACTATGCGAAAAACATTAGGAAGCCATAGTTTCAGTTGAAGTTAATTAAAAAGACAAAAATATACACACTACCTCTTGTAGTTGTTGCTGTCAACTATAAGAGTAAATTAAGTGACTTGGGTAAGAGCAGCTGAAATATTCTCCAGCTGCCACATAAAAACAAATAATTACAATACATCTACAGAGAAAAGCAGCCATAAAATGTATGTAAACAAGCATTCACACAACCACTCGAAGGTTGTTTTTGCTCTGAACAACAAATATAGCATAACCTATGGAAATGATTTGACATGGCAGGAGCAAGAACAAGGCAAGCGGGGTTTTGTAATGAGGACATAAAAATGGGACTATTAAGGTTCGGCTCCATAACTAACACGGGGCCCCAAAAGGCTATTCTTCTCACTAATTAGTCCCCCCAGGAATCCACAATTACAATTCATTTTTAGTAGAATCGGGCGCTGGGTACAGAGCGAATGCGTCTCAGTGGAATCAGACAAACAATGCAGCGCAAGGTTAACACAATAACACACAATGCGGCTGTGCCGTGGCATGCTGTCTGTTCTACAGCATCAAACACGTAACGTGGTCATTTTAATGAACAATAGTCCCCGAGAAACCACAAATTAAATGAATTTTATCCGTGTGCAACTCGCAAACCTCGCCAGATTGCTTCATTTGTCTAAATAGAGTGTCTCCCAGCCAAAAAAGGATCAAATGACCCCGGGTGGGAGAAAAACAAGCATCATTACATGTAGTCTTTAAAATAATGTATTATTAAGAGCTGCAATGATCCGCCAATTAATCCACAGCAAGTTGCTATCAGGAAATAAAGCAGGAATTTTTCAAAAATGCCAAATATTCACTGGTCAAACACAAGATTTGTTAAAAAAAATAAAAAACCTGAATTACAGTCAATATGTTTCATATTAATGAAGGGATGATGGTGTTACTCTAAATGAGGAGAATACATGCTGGACAGCAGGAGGGGGAATCTTCTGCTTCTCCAAGAAACTATGACGTCATATCAAATAGCCCAATTCATTATAATTTCTCCTGGAGTACAGCAAACACTTACATGATGTTGCTGCCAGTTCTGTGCCAATGATAAAACAGTTTGGATGCTTGAATATACGGAAGCTTATTATCCCCCAACCTGTAGCTGGAGATATTAGTGCCAACACGTTCCCATTGTGATCTGGCTCAAGGAACGGTGCATTTACTTGTTTGCGAGCAGCAGGCCTCGCTATACTCCCGTCTAACACATACATGCCTCATCACGGTTCACCCGTTCTTTCATCCGTCAGTGCAGGAAAATAGACGTGCAAAACTGGCACGGGCTTTCTGCCAAGAGACCCCTGCACAAAATTCTCACAATGATCTGCTCGGACACAAGTGACATTAATGGTCCCATTTAGAGTTGGTCGACATCCAGTGCCCACCGTCTACAAGTTGTAGCCATCGGTTATGATTTAAGGATCACAGTTTCTAGTTTGGACAGGAGCAGCCTGAAATAACCTAGAAAATGCACCACACTCAAACCACATCCTCCACAATGCATGCAAGGCAAAGCCTGCCTGCCTACACCACATGCCAGGGTAGCATGCAAAGTGTTACATTTAGCAAATTTAACCCATGCCTTATATAATATCAGCACACTGATACTAAACAAACCTCAAGTAAAGTGTGCACATTATTATTTTCCAGCTTCTTTTAAATATTAACGATTTATATGTCTTTTCTGTATTTGAATTTACCTCTGAAGCCCAGAGACCTGCAGTCAAATACTTTCTGAGCAAACAGACTTCTCAGATAGGGCTTTTTTATGACCCTTACCTGAGTCTTATCAAGGCATAGTTTGCCTTTGAAACGAAAGATTAAGTATGCAAAAGATGCCACACTTGATGTTTGAGAGCAGAGAGCCTCAGTCAGTTTAAAGGTGTATGAGTTTATAGTGAGTTTCAACGATACAAATTATGCACAGGTGCTTTTGCATGGCTGCTTCTGGTTAACGTTAGATTTCCTGTCTTCACAGCGGGTTAAAATAAAGCGACACCAAACCTTCTTAATTGCTTGTAATTAATTGTCTGCAATAAGTGAAGAGAAGCACGTCTTAGAAGTAAATAAAGGGAGAGGAAAGAGTGAAGAACTGAACCTTCAGCTACCTCAATCCAGCGTTTGGCCTCGTTGAATGCGTCTGCACGGCTCACACTGGTCTGCTGACGCCACTCCATCTTAGTCTTCTGAACAACTCTAACGAGAGGGCAAAAAGAGGCGAGAATTCGTTACATTCATTAATTACGGAGCACGGAAGCCACGAACCTGCAGCAAGCCTATCAAATAAGGTCAGTAGTATCAGCACACACCCACATCCAAGTGATACTTTAAGAAAAGGCACAGTAATAATTTCTGCCTGTTTGGTCACCTTACGCTGTGGCTTGGCTGCTCACCGGTGAAAGTCTTCCGCTAATTGACACCCAGTTTAACACCGGACCGTCCGTACTCCTGCCACCCCGGAGCCCATCACTGACAGGTTCCGCTTATTGGATGAAGTGTAGCGGAAGGTCTCCGCCCACTAAAAAACTTTCAGGCAAAGTTTGAAGCGAAACCAAAGATGAGCCGAGGAGGGGAGCGTAGACTCTTCATCCCCCTGCTGGCCAGCGGCTGCACTGCACCACCAAGAGATGAGGTTTTAACATTTCAAATACTGAAGAGCCTAATTAATAACAAAAAGTTGGTTAAGGTTGGTTAATTCCTTTAATTAGGTTGTTTTTTGGGTTTTCCGGCGGGTTTTATTTTTTTTTTTTTTTACATATCAAGCTTTCTAAGTGGAATTCCTTTCCCAGTGTGATCATAGTGATGCAGTTCTGATGGAGAATATATATCTCTCTTGGCCTAAGATATCAAAATGAAATGAACTGTGTTTAAAGTATAAAAGCACCCCATTGAATTCTCACTTTGTATTGGTCCTTATTTTAGTTGCATGTCAGTGACACCACTGAGAGTCTATAATTTAACCCCTCAGATGTAACTACATCCATGTCTACATCCATCCATCCATATCCTTACCACCCTGGCAGCTCGAGCTGGAGCTTATTCTGTCTCTCATAGGGCGTGAGGAGAAGTACGCCTCTGGACAGGTTGGACAGTTCATGACAAGGAAAGGCAGACAACCGCTCACACTTACATCAGCGACCTATTTAGAATCACAAATTAGCCGGGCGTGCATGTCTTTGGACTGCAGAAGAAACAGAGCACCCGCAGGTTATCCACACAGGCAGAGGGAGAACATGCAAGCTTTATGCAGGAAGACCTCGAGAAGACAGTATATTTAAAAACCAGACTCTTCTTGCAACTACTGCATTACTGCGCCATCTACATGGCTACATACCAAATACAAACTGTCATCTGCAGTGCATTCAGTGGCACTTATTGAGCTTGCTTTCTCACTTCTAGTTGATCCAGACATCACGTTCGATCACACAGTATGCAGAATGCAGGCCATGTAATCCATTAACTTCAGAGGATGGCTATATTTAAATAGCAAATGTGCAAAATTATATATTTGCATTGGGTACAGATAAAAAATAATCTCCTTCTCTTCTTTAATTCCATTTGTCAAAGTTATTTTCTGTCAGTCTCTGTAGCACCAGCCCTCTGCCGTACGCAAAACATGACAGTATCATCAAGGGCAGGTCTCTTCACCAGCTATGTCTATGAATAGAAAATTGTTTTTCTTTCTTTTTTTTCCTTTTTATTTGCACATCTGAAAGCATAATGAGAACAGGGTGGACTGGCCTCATCTTGTATTACAGTACGTGCTTACTCCAATCTAATTTTCTGCCAAATGCCTAAGGAGGTGGACTGTATAGGAAACTGTGATGGAATCACATAATTGTAAAGTAAAATGAGGTGCAGAGGTGTAGGACACTGTAGAAAACTTAATGAGATGCCTATTAAGAAGAAAGAACATTATGTGAATCAATAATCTTCACACACCTTCCATTTATTACCTAAACTGGGAAATTAAAAGATAATTTCCTGAACCACCTGATATGCACACAGAACAATAGGGATTATCTTTTTTTCCCCACCTTTATTTTTGGGCTTCAAACATAAATCCTCTGTCGCTCTTTTGTGAGAATTAAGTAAGGCTGTTCTCAGTGTTCTGATATTTTACAGAAGAATTTTCACACTTAAAAAATTCTGTGCACTGACCATCTTTAGAAATTCACTCAAGGATACAGCCACAGACATCAATTTTCCACTCATTTTTGAAAACAACAGGAAACTTAGAAGCAGCGGTGACTGAAAAGGCTGCCTCTGTTTCTGCACATTCAGAGTGGTATTTATGTACCAAAGGTTTTTTTTTTTTACCTTTTGTGTGGTTCTTGATGGAAGCTTGAATTACTCTAGGTTGTTAAATTCCTGCCCTGATGAGGCTTTATGTCAGATGCTGGCCACTGATTTATGTTCTTCATGAATAAAGTACTCTATCCAAGATGAAAAACAACAATGGTACTACACAACCCCTTTCACAAGTGCTGCACACTTGAAAAAGCAGAATGACTCTTCATCTTTATTACAGGCATGAGGGTTTGTTGCACATACTGATCCACTGATTAGATAAGGAATAGGATTATAAGCCCAAGTATGAAATACTCATCAACTACAAGGATGTAAATAACATCACTGGTCCTCTGATGATCCATTTACATTGTGTATATAAAATGATAAGATGTGTGTTTATTGTGATTGTTCAAGAACACCTGGTCGATAAATAGATTAGAATAAAGCCCAAAAGGCTAATCTCTTTAGTTCTAATATATGCTGGATGAATGTTCAGTGAATGTTTACAGAGCATCCAGAAAGTACTCACAGTGCTTCACGTGGTCCACATTATGGCATGCTACACCCTTGATTTGTTCCAAAATTGAATATATTAATTTTTCACCTCAAATTTCTACACACAATACCCCGTAATTACAAAGTGAAAAATTTCTGCTTGAGATTCTTGAAAATATATTGAAAAAAAAAAGTAACCTGTACATAAATATTCACAGTCTTTGTTCAATACTTTACTTTTTACAACAATTACAGCTTCAAGCCTTTTTGGATATGATGGTACAAGCTCGGGATGGGAAGCATCGCGCATGAGCATTTTCAGATCTCTTCAGAGATGTTCAACAAGGTTCAAGTCTGAGCTCTGGCTGGGTGGCTCAAGGAGATTCACAGTAGTCTCAAAGGCACTCCTTTGTTATCTTTGTGGTGTACTTAGCCCAGTCCAGGGTCTCTGGAGCAGGTTATCATCAAGAGTGTCTCTGTACATTGCTGCATTCATCTTTACCCCGATCCTGACTAGTCTTCCAGTTTCTACTGCCAAAAAACATCCCCACAGCATGATGCTGCTGCAAACATGCTTCACTGTAGGGATGATATTGGCCAGGCGATGAGTGGTCCCTGGTTTCCTCAAGACATGATGCTTGGCATTCAGGCCAAAGAGACCAATCACTGTTTCATCAGACAAGAGAGTTTTGTTTCTCATGGTCTGAAAGTCCTTCATGTGTCTCTTTTGCAAACTCCAGGTGGGCTTTACAGACTTCTGCCTGGCCACTCTACCATACCGGCCTGATTGGTAAAGTGCTGCAGAAATGGTTGTCCTTCTGAAAGGTTCACTTCTGTCTTTAGCAGAGCTGGTGGCTACAAACTTCTTCATTTTATGGAGGTCACTGTGCTCACTGGGACCTTTAATGCTGCAAACATTTCTGTGTGTCCTTCCCCAGATCTGTGCCTCAACACAATCCTGTCTTGGATGCCTACAGACAATTTATTGGACATCATGGTTTGGTTTGTGCTCTAACATGTACTATAAACTATTAGACCTGTATAGATAGATGTGTGCATTTCCAAATCATGTCCAACAACTGAATTTACCACAGGTAAGACTCAAATTGAGCCCCCTCTCCTTTGGAACCAGAAAGAAAAACCTTCCATCTTAGATAAAGCTTAAAGTTACTTCTTCATCAGACCCTGAACCCTCGCTGCTGTTGTTCTGCTATAGTCTCAGGCTCCTGGAGGATTTCCCATGATGCACTGAGCATTTCTTTTCCACTCACCCTTTTCACTCCCCAGGTGTTTAGAGACCACTACTTAATGTCATGAAATTGTGTCTTCTCTCTGCAATAGTGTGTGTTTTGTGCCTTTTTTTTCTTTTACTTTCCCCTCACCTCCTAACTTGTTGTGTTTGATGGCTGACCCTCTCTGAGCCTGCCTCTGGGAGAGCTATCTTCCTGTTACACGGGAGTTTTTCCCTCCCACTGTTGCCAAGTACCTGCTCATAGGAAATCATCTACTTGTTGGGGTTTTCTCTCAAAGGTAGTAGATCTTTACCTTCCAGTATAAAGCGCTTTGAGAAGACCGTTGATGTGTTTTGGCCCTGTATAAATAAACTGAACTGAATGTAAAGATGTAATGCCTAGTTAACTACAATTAGTAGTTTGAGTAATCACTATACTGAAATCACTGTAAAACGATCCAGGAGCTTATGATGTAATAAGGAGTCAAGACATTAAGCTAAATAAATAATGTACACATAATTAGCATAACTATTTTTGGGGGAGTGAAAAAATGATTTACCGTTCAATTGTTTGTTTTCAGATTTTATAAGTACAATACCTTTAATGCTTCTGCTCTCTGTCTTTGAGTCCTTTTTACAAATGTGTCCTGAATTTATTGATGCATGAACAGCTAAATATAAAAAAGAAAGAAAAAGTACTGCAAAAGTAATGCATTACATTTTACTTATGTTATGGGTCCATATGAATGCATCAACTTATCATAGCCGATGAACTAATCTGTTGCACTGGGCTGCCACTGGGTGTTGCTGTAACTCTGCATCTGCATGGCTCAACTGGAGGGGGTGGTTTAGGGTGGATGAAGGGGACGGGGAAAGGGAGAGTGAAATGGACAATGACGACAGTCTGATTTGCCTCCACATGATGCAGTTATTTCCCATATTTTCCATTTATGTGTTCCCCTGGGTCCAGTCCAGAGTGAGGTTAAGAGTAATGTGATGCTGCTCAGAATACTCAATTTTCAATTATACCCGCCATCATTACGGTTGTCAGAAGCTGCGAAGTCAACAGCTAATATGTCCTCCATTATTTTTTTATTTTACAGGAACTGAAGAGAAAACCAAGGAAATTTTGTACCAATAAAATGTTCTCCTTCTTTCTATTTATTACTTTATTTATTATTTATATTACCTCATGCTGTTTTTTTAAAGCATCTCAGCTGAATTTCTAATGGATAACTGTTTTACGCAATATGTTTATACATAGTGGGGTTTTTTAAACATAATTATCTGATCATTAATGAAATGTAATGAATTTATTAAGGTGTGTCATCTTAATTATATATTTTTTTAAAGTTTAATATTGGTAAAAAAATATATATATATCACACCAATGGAAAATGCTTCTCTCTATGTGTAGCTCCCTCTCTTTGTTGCTCAGACACTTTTTATCAGGAACTTCATCTAAATTCATC